TATCCCCTGTGTGCCTTGTCGACTCAGTTCCCCCCCCCCCGACAAGTTGGCTAACGAAGTTATCACCGTGATTAACGTATACGTACTTGTTAGCGTTTAACGCTAAAAGGAGACCTTGACGCGGTCGCCGGCTCCGGACGTCGCGGATAATTCGTAGACTCGATCGGAGGAGGTACACACCGTGAGAGATCCACGGGGATCCCGGACGTAGCGGGAGGGACAGAACGGCTTAAAAGAGAGTGGCGAGAGCCGTGGAGGAGCAGAGGGAAGGACAGAAAGGTCAGTAGTCGGGCAGGAGAGTGAGTGCGTGCGTGACGGACAGACAACGCGACAAAGAGAGTGATTCAGAAGGCGAAAGAGTGCGAGCGGGGGAGGGGGGGCGAAGAGGAATGCCACGCGAGAGAAGTGGGAGGAGAGCGAGAGGAGTGCCCGAGAGAGGACGTGAAAGAGAGAGGACAACGAGTGGAGCATGGACTGCAACGGAGTATCGTTAACCGGCGGGGCACACAAGAGAGCCCGTTCTCCAGACCCCGCTGGTAATCACACAGCCGAGTCGGCTGTTAGTATTGTGCCCGAGCTCGAGTGCGAGCGGACTCGTCGCGAGCCGCGAGTCGTCGCGCGGCGCAACAAAAACGAAGCGACGTCGACGCGTCGTGCGACGATCCGTACGTGAGTTCCGTTCTCCAAGATCGTGTCACGCGAGTGTGTTGCGTGTCGTCGTCATTGTCGTTTTTACCTAGACGAAGCTTCTGCTCCAGCAGTTGGGGGACACCGACAATCCTAGAAGGCTGATCCGAGAGGTACGTTCACGATCTGAGGAGGAGACCTTGAAGCGAGGAGAGCTATGCGATAAACCGATTCGATACCGAAGCGTCGTAGATCACTCTGCAACCGCGCGTCGTTGGTGCGGAGCGGATGGTGAACCGATTCGCTTCAAGCGGCACGGTAATGGCGCGATTCGCGCGAGCTCACCTTCTCGCTGGTTGCTAACGGTTTATACCGCCGCCATACTCGCTCTAATCTAATCGGGATAGGCAGGTTTTTCTCGGGTGACTCAGGCGCACATGCTCAGTCTTGTTGCCTTCGTCGAGAAATAGCCGTCGCTGATAAGACGACGGCCTGATATCGTTGACTAGGAAACTATAAATGCTCGAGTAACATCTGGCAGAATTTTGTTGTCGTTTTCACGCTCAGTCCGCGTGGGTTTTTTTTCCCCTCTTGCCCGTCCCAAGCAACGCCCACAGGTGTGTCACGATCGTTACAGCAGATCGTGACATGGTTCACGGCTTGGCGCCGTTGCGCGGCGATGAAGAGATCTCCCCCGGTTTTGCGTGCGAATGCACGCGTCCCGGTGTTTTGGTGCTCTTCGAACTCCGACGATAGTCACTTTTAAAAAGGACCGCATAAGCGGCTAACGTTATTTATTTTCCCAATTATTCACCGTCGGCGTATGTTCGATAAACGGATGTTAATGTCTAAATATTTATTGTTATCCAGTTCACGTCGGTGAGACATGCGGCCCCCGAGAAAGTTCGTTCAGCCATTTCATCATAATACGCGAAAATGTGACCCGCATTGTCAATATTTATCGACGACGCGCGGAGTATATATGTTGCCGTGCAACACGTGTAGTTGTTTGTCTCTGTGTTATTTCAAGTATTGACAATTCTTCAATATTCATCAGCGTTTGATGAAAATTGATAATTTATCGCACAACTTGTAGCTCGATAAATATTGATAATCCCAAGGATTTTTTTTGGTTTAACTTTGACTACGGGGACAAGAGCGCTTTCTTGTTGTGTTTTCGTGCAAATATCGCCGGAGGGAGTCTTTGTGTTTTCGCATCCGCAGGTGCGGCTCCGCGGTGCGCAGGTGCACGCGTACGCGCGGGTCCTTGGATGCATGTGAGCGATGGTAAGATGAATGAGGCGATACGCCCGCAAATGACAAATGCGCCGCGGCATATCCAATTACGAGAAATCGAAAGGTATACGGGAATAATGCGTCTTAATAATAGCACTTTCTGTATCGCGTTCATCGTCCAAGGGACTATTTTAGCGTCGATGTGTATCTTCGATTCTGAAACAGGCCATTAGTAATAACAATCCCAATATATCGAAATAAACGAATCGTGATTTTCCGAAGTATACTTGACACACAATGGGGTTAAAATTATAAGAACACGGTAACGCTCTATTACACGCTCTTTAAACATGCTTTATGCAAGCAGCGCTATATATCCTCCGGACTTCGACTTCGTTAGTTCGTTCGCGAGAGCTAATAATTACATGCAAAATTGTTTAACTTACGCCCGATCAATTATGTATGCATAATAATTCTGGTTACGTTGCACATGCAAACATTCGCCTAACTTGGAGAGTGTGTGTGTATGTGACTTGTTGCCCGTCCTACATTTTAATCGGAACCTGTATAGCGCGATTCGATGAACGCAGACAATGCGTCGGAAGATCAAGGAATTCCCTCCCGCGAAGGCCGGTGAATCAGAAGCGAGAAAACAAAGAAGCCTTGGGGCGGAAAGAATGCATTCTCGCTTCGATTCGCTTAGTTAAATCTTTTCATATCTTAGTACAATCTTCGTTACTCACGCAAAAATCTTGTTCTATTTTGCAATCTCGTTTCTCGCAAAATTCATCAATTCGCAAACACGGTTGAGGATTAATTTAATATGAATTGCTAATTTAATAGACATGACACGCTGTAACATGTAATGCGATCCCGCGGAAAATCTTATAAGATTTTAATGTACTTAGAGAATTGCACGTTTTCCGAATCAAAAAATGGCTCTCCTCTTTATATTCTTGAGAAAAAGAGGGTATGGATAGATATGTATATATGTTAAATCGAGCAAATGCAAACGCGCTATACAAGCCTATCTTCAGACAGCTGTGTTGATAGTGCATCGATCGTAACTCAAGGGGTTACGCGAGTTCGAACGAACCAGGATAAGCACATGTTGTTACGCGAGTTGTTATTCGTCGTCAAAAATCCACAAGCGTATGTTCGCGCTTCGCAAAAACGAATCGAGAGCACTGATACCCGTTTCCTAGGTGAAGCCTAAGCAGGAAAGTCGGAGGGAGTTTCATGAATAATTGAAGAACGGAGAACACGGGATTATCATAATGCGTGAATGACGCCGAGGAAAATCCTCATCAAGGTACGACCTACATCCGTTTACGTTGCCATAATCCTTATATACTACTATTACTTCTGTTATCCGTCGAGGTTAAGCTTGATACAGAGCAAGACAGAGATTATCGTCGAACATATACGCTTTTAATAAAACACATTTCTTGGAAATTTCCAATCCATTTCAGGAGGAGCTGTGAGAATATTTTAAACTGTTCAGTTATTTAAAATGACTCCATACATAAGTAAATCTAAATAAATTATTATTATTTAATAATTATTTAATAAAGTGAAATGTGTGTATAATTATAATTTGTAAAGAGAATTTTTATCCCTTTAATTTTATCGTCGATAAACGCAGCTAAATAGATTATGTGTATCTTTAGCCTTCATTAGCGAGCTCATTAACTGCATCTAAATACGTTTGTGGAATGAACATTATTCAGATAAATTATACATATATCTTCGTGAATAAAGATTGATCGGCCTGACTCGCGATTTGATGATTTGCCCCATTTCGAAGCGGTCGTACACGTTCGCTGCGGAGCGATTTAACTTTTAAGCCTAATATATATCGTTAGCGGGCAAACGAGTTTCTTGCGCAATTGCGGAAGCGATAATTTTGCACCTACACGAGAATTCCGGGCGTAGCTGAGCGTTATTATTTCATTGAGACAGTTCGTTTATGAAAGCTACAACGAGATTGGTGGGAATTAGTATACGGCAAACCAGTAAACCTATCTTAATCCTGGCCTTGAAATCAATGAATGCACCGATTTATCCGATGTGATTCAGTAAATCATTTAAGAAAGAAAAAGAAAGAGACTTGCGAAACGTTAACAACTTGGCCATTGACGTAGGTACCATCTGTCAACTAATTGCATCTATCCTCTAACGATTTCCACATAAGACAGTGACTAATAGCGACATTAATGGGCCAGAAGTTGCGTAACGAGATTAGCGGTAACTTTGCGTACGACTAAAAAATTATAAATAATTGACTGCAGCAGTATTAACGCGCGTGCGTATAGATTCAATAATTAAGATCTCTCTTATTGTTTTAATAATATTATGTATAGTTTCAACGTGATTTTAAACTTCGGAGGTGACAAGCATAAATTCTCGAAGATCGGAAACTAAAAATAAATGCCTAGAATGCCCTGCCTAGAATACTCTGTCACAATGCAGGCAGGCAGAGATTATAGTCAGTGACGAGATCAGGAACAAAAAGTGGGACGACAAAGAAATCGGGCCTTTTCGGTACTGCTCGGTATTCCTCGCGAAACGTCCAGATGTTCCCTTTGATCCATAGAAATTCTCAGCGTCTAGGTATTCTTTTATATCAGAAGTTAAGCATTTCGTTGCTTGAGTGCGTTACTGCGTTCAATCTCAATACTCGTCCATCATCACCGTTATTGCTTAAATAGCTCGAGGTTCTTTCTTCCTTTAGCGAATTTGAGACTGTACGACTCTTTCATTTCTTGAGTTTAATTTTTTGCACGGTTCCGATTTGATAATGCCTAAAGGCATCTTTTCGTGCTGACGCTCGACGCTCGTTTTTATCGTCGAAACAGATAACGTGATCAAAATTGACGCCTGGCATTCGTCAACTTTTTGATCGTGTGATCTGTTTTGACGCTGAAACTGAACGTTGAGCATTGACCGTCGGCACGAAATCGTATCTTAACGCGAAGGCACAGGCATGCGACGCCAAGTACATACACTAATCCACATGTACACGGAACGCTTTAAGGATATTACACAGATGCAATTCATCGTAGACGGTTACCCAGTCGAATTATTTATCAGAAATCGTGTTTCAACAGCGGCGTTGCCAGATAATGCATTATTACGATTATCTCTGTTACACAATAATACCGTTCGGCAAGTTTGCCTTTGAAGAGGAACTGTGCTTGGAGAGGGAGGGAGGGGGGAGGGACAAAGTTGTGAGAAGTGTGGGAACCCAGTAGAGATGCGTTCACTCTACAGTCCACCCAGTGCGTCGAACTGTTTCGTGGTCGGTTGATAGTTTGTTTTTTTTGGTGACGAACACGTGCTCGATCCGATTCAACAAGAGAAGGTGCGATAACGATTATTATTGATTAAACTGAAACATTAATTCGTTGAACTAAATTTCTCTAAAGATTTATCAATTTTCATGAATCTCTAAAATGAATCACTTGATATGCCGTGTTAAATAAATAATTATTAATGTGATATACGGATAGAGATGATATCAAGCAATAATAGCTGGAGGAACATATAATTACTACATGTGTGAGTGCTGCGTGACGTGCTCGCGGACGTGCGTGTGTAAGCGTGACTCACGATTCTTCTTAATTCCTCCTATACGAGTGTATAATTAGCACAAGGATCACTCTAACTCGTCGTTTAGTTGTTTTTTCCATTGTCCCGTACGCGATCTTCGCATTGCGAGCGTGCGAAAGACTTGTGGCGATACGACGTTACGTTCAATGTAAGGTCCAAGTCCCCACCCCCCCGCTCTTTCTCTCTCTCTTTTTCTTTCTTTCTCTTTTTCTTTCGCATGCATCTTTCGGCCCACGCCTCTGCATGCTCGTGCCCATGCCTGCTCATGCCTGCCGGCAGACGAGATTATGTATCCAGCTCACCAGCACCGGTTGGTGAGAAGCCGCCGGTTGATCCGCAAGAAAAATCCGCAACTTCGTACCTCGGAATTTTTCCACGGATTGCGTAGGATCGTCTCGAGCGCCTTTCCACCGAAGTTTCATTGAAAAGGTATACGTACTCGCCGCTTGATGCCCGTAAGTTTTTCGAGAAATACGTCTTTCATAACTTAACTTTAACGGAAACTCTTCTGTCTCTCTTTCCTCCGCTGAAATCTACGGGAGCGATGCCTTTGGATACGCGAAAATAGATCCCCAGGCTGGCAGGCCACCAGCGCGAAAGTAATACGTGATTCCGACGGCTACAACGGCGAGAGATTATCCTTTATCGGGGGCTCTCTGATTACCGTGGGCCCTCGCGAGTGTGGTGCATATCCCGGCGTAATTTCATTGAGGCATGTAAGATAGGCGGCGCACTGTCGGCAAACCCGTATGTAATATACGTGCGACTAGCCGAGTCGTCTAATATTAGCTGAAATCCCTGGCTAAACCTAAGTCAAATAGAAGAGCGTCCGAAACTGCAAACCCGAAATGTCCCATACCGGATTACGCCGATTTGCTCTGTAAACATTTGCAGCTTCTTGCACTTGCCGGCCGCGCGTAAGAAGCGATGCGCGGCGTAGCCGTGCTGTCCGTTTCCTGCAGGGGAAAAATTATTCCGGAATAGCCAGGCTTAAGAGTCATTGCGCTATGTACAGAAAAAAAAAACGTTTATCTTGCGTACGTGCAACGGGAAAAATGGTCAATATTGTAACATAAAACGATATATATAATACATTTACCGGTAAGTCGAATTTATCGCTGAGATAAAGAATAATCAACCGCTGATCAATCGCGAGGTATTAACTGTCATATTATTGTGTTATCAAGTTTAGTTCTGAGAACGTATATGAGTTGCGGACAGTGTGTGTTCACACACAGAGCGCGATGCACCGACTTTCGATATCGATCGCGTCACGGAAGCATTAATCCGTCTTACGTCTACGTTCTAACGAGTATCCCGGATCCCCTGTGACACGCGGTATACACACATGGGGGGGGAGGGGGAGAAGGGAGGAAATTTGATTATCGCGGGCTGGATTAAAGTTTAATTTTGTTCGCGGCCGCGTCGATTTTTGATTGATGGCGTCTTGCCGATGATCGTTAATTCAACGGGGTAAAATACCGGAGATGAAGCTTTCATGCGATCGCTATTATAAAGTAAGGAGACGTAAAAGTATAGTAAAACCGGTACAAAGAAATTGACAGACGCGTCTTTCACGAAAATAATAAATAAATGTACATTATATTAATTAAAGATGTCTATAATATTGATATTAATATATAATTGGATTGTATATTATATATATATCGCCGAGATATTTCAAGTGAAATCATCGTTGGCATTTAACGAAATTATCATAGCGTGAGTGTTATATTTAACGAGAGAGTGATCAATGATTTCACTTGAAAAATCTGTCTCGAACGAGATAGAGATTAGCGGCCGTGACAAAGGCAGGAAGTTAATGACGTAAGTTGTAATGTCTTCAAGAGGCAATAGCCGTATCCACGACCGTCATTCAACACCTCGTCGTAACTGAAGCTCTCTTTCGCCTCCGTGTTGCCGCGGCAAAAACTTCTCTCGTGTTTCTTTCGTGACTGAAAACACGGAAGTAACATTAACCTACTGCACTCAATATATGTTCGTGTGACTTTTACGTGTGTATATCTTTAGTGATTGTGATAGATTTTTCTGTTAGCGAAAGCCGTTTTGTGCTAAATAAATCTTATACGTCACTTCATTACAGAATATCTGTCTGATAATATAAATAACTAATAAATTTATGGCCCGTAAAGATGTCTATAAATATAACTAAATATTATTACCGTTAACTATTTGGCTTGGGATAAAGAAATGTGGAGCACTCCAAGTGACATTTATGTGCCATAAATAATACGCAATTTGATTTATATATCATTCATACATATATCATACTTGTTTCCGTTTACCATTTCAGTTTATTATTTCAGTAATTTGATAGGAATTAATCGCTAAAGTATTTATCCCCCGTGAATCTAGTAGAAAATTTGACGTATTTCAATTAATCCGCGGAAGTTCTACTTCTGAACAATCGTAATTATGTTTCGCGTGTGTTACCATGGATGATCCGTGATTCTGTCGGCGTTGCGACAACAATATCCAAGCATGCAACTTCCTGGATATATCAATCGATCGATATCGACGTGACCCAGGTTTCGTTCAAGGAACGCGTTTTCCCGGAAAATAGCAATCGCCATCGTATTGCATTCACATCAAAATTGTATGTTTTAATTATTTTATGCACAGGATAAACGACGTGTTCAGAATTAATTCTTCAACTTCAGCATAACATTGAATTTGGAAGTTTACGTCGCTTTCAGTGTTCCTGGCTGAATCTTGATGAGAACGTTGAAAGCGACATAATTCAGCATAGCGATCGGTATCTTCGCTTCAACAGGTCTCCTATTCAGAAAGGATATCGCGCGCTGCTATTTTTAATCTAGCTTGAAGTATTTTAATATGTATCGGCATTCGATAAAATCACGAGCATTCACGCATAGAAAGCACAATTATCTTGCTCGCTACCATGTACTTATCGCATGTTGCAAGTAATTGTGCGAGCACTTTCGTAGATTCGATAAGTAAATGCCGTGACAGATTTGATAATCGTATATCTTTAACTTGTGTTCTAGAAGCTGTGCAGCAGTGTCTTTGCGCCTGTTTTTGGGACGACAACTGCACAGAGATGGGTTGTTGCGGTTGTGCGGACGAGCCTTCGTCCAAAGTGGAACCCACGGTAAATGTTTTCTATGCGCTAGTTAAAAAAGCATTCACATATATATATATAAATATGTAGCATGCTTAAAAGTAATAATCACACATCCATAAAATGTCTATGTTTCTTAAACACGCAACTCGAACTAAATTAATTCTGATGTTTTGTCCGTTAAATTAATCAACCTAATTCTTTTCTATGATAAAGAATCGATTTGCGACTATATCTTAACTAGTACGCTTTCATTTCTTTATGAGTGCGTGTTCTTAAATTTTTCATTTGCAAGCCTTGGTGAAAATTTTTCTTACAATTCGTTATAATTTTTTATGTAAATTTCAGAATTTTTAATTTTTTAGAAAATTTTTCAGATTTTTATACGAATTAAATACTTTTTAGAAGTATTTAATTACTGAGACAGTCATATTTTTTCTATATATAGAATATTCTTCATGTACCTATGTGATGAATTTTGAAATATTTGAAGATTTCTCATGCTAAAATTTCTGAAGAAAACTTATAAAATCTGAAAAAAATATTTTTTTAAGGCATTTTTCAAAAATCTTCATAAATTTAAGATATGACAAATTTTTAAAAATATTCTGAGATATGAGAATTTTTTTCATCAGAGAGCAGAATAAAAATATCTTCAATCGACTGTTTGTTTATTTTAACATTTTTAATTCACACTGCATAATTTTTTCTGTCTAGACACCTGATAATCAAGACTCACCGTCGAACTATTCAGAGCAAATATTCGTAAAGGATCGATCATGCACCGATATTCTGGCCGTGATCGTCCTACTCGTTCTGGCGGGTGGTTTCGTAAGTGACATTGTTTTTTCGCGTCATGACGTCAATACGTTTGCTAAATGTTATTCCGTAATTCGCACGTGCAGGCCTTCATGATGACGAATGTGGCGAAGAAGGGTGACATTTACCGCGTGATATATGGATACGACGATTGCGGAAATGTCTGCGGCCGCGTAACTTCGCGCGAAATCGATCCGAAATTCCAGTGTAAGGGTAGTGATCACACCAAAAAACCGTGAGTGCACTTTGAAGCATTTGTAAAATCAAATTTCCTCGCGATTTGACCGCTCATGTATCAGAGGCGGGATTTATGTAAAAATCCTATGATTTTTCTTAAATAAATAATAAAAACTAATCTTTTGTTACTCGCATGGGTATTCAGCTTAGAGCATAAAATACATGCTCCAAATATAAACTCCTAATGTATTATTCCATGTATGCTCTAAGGTATTTAGTCTATAATACACCTCATAAATTGCTAAATATATGAATGCTGTTAATGTATCATTATCATATTTAATGTAAATTGTTTCACAATTAAAAATAAAATTTAACTTAAAAACAATTTAAGTAGCAAACAATGAAAATTGAGATATAATATTGGGACGTCGAATAATTACGTTAAAAAAATCATGCGAATAATATAAGGTTCAGGAAATTATTAGCGAATTAATTAAATAATTAAAGTTTGTACTGTAAGGCTATTCGAAAAAAAATAAAGCTTAGGCTCAATAAAAAGTTTGAAATATTAAAAAATGCATATTAAATACGTTTGTTATTAATATTAAATTCAATTGTTGATTTGATACTGATTGCCTGTACTGTACTGAAAGGTCTTGAGAATTGATCGTTGCCTTCCATTGATGACTTATATTCTGTGTTTTATATTAGGTACCTCGAGATAGACATCGAAGCGAACGGAGTGAAGAAACGTACGTGCGTGGCGAATTGCACAGTGGACGAGACCAAGTTAGTAAAATAATTGAGACTCATTACATCTCGTACCTTGCGTCTCTGATTGCGTGTTTCACGTTAATCTAAATGATTGCTAGAATCGCAATCGCGGAAGGTTTCATGCACTAAATATAAACTTTATCATTTTCCCTTCCAATCGTTTTCTCTAACGTCAATTTTTGTCTGTTTTTTCTTGCCTCGCAGAATATTATTTCTGAATCGCTGTATGCACAAAAAGGTGACAGAAACTATCAATTCCATAATAAGGACACTTCGTTTGGACAGCTTTTACAATGTAAGTGACTGTTTGTGAGATTATTTTTTGCGAAAAAATCAAGCTTTTCGTTTTGCTAGAACCCGAGTTTGTTGTTTAAAAAAATATGCATTGGGTTTTTTCCTGAAGTTTTTCATACATTTCTAAACCATGTTCCCGATTATACAACAATAAACAGATAATTCCAGTTTTGAAGAATTTTACGTTATATCTTGTTCTATCTTATTATGGTAGAAATCTTAATCTTTTTTTTAACATTATCGAACTGAAAAATAAGAGAAAATATATTCATCCTAGAAAAAAAATGACATGTATCATTCACTAACATAAGTCGGTCATTGAGCTTTATTTTAAATATGACTCTACTAAATAGTTTATTTTCATTTAAATGCTTTGTAATGATCCAATATCGTGTTACATTTTAAATTAAACTTCAAATTAAATTATTCTCTTCTTAAAATTTATTTATTCTTATATAGCATTTCACCGTACTTTGGTTCAAAAATTTGGAATATGTAAATTAGTTTAGGTCAATTAATTTTAAATCACTTAAAATAATTTGCAAGTAATATATCGCTTGCGTGGCATGCGCGGTATTTTAATTAGTTTGAATAAGTAATTATTAAGTAATTGATAATGTATCGTTATTTCAGGACGCAGTTACTGATCTGGGGATTGCATGGCGCGAATTGATTTACCTTCTGCTCATAGCTTTGGGTAGGTATTCTAGAAAAAATTATTTTAGAATTGTATCATTTTATAACTTTCAATTTCTCGCTATCTGTCTATCTATCTATCTATCTATATATATGTATATATATATATATATATATATATATATATATAAAATCTGAAACATTTTATTAAATTTAATAATATTCCAAGCAATTACAATGTGCAATGCAATTGGAATTTGAAAAATTTCAAATAGTATTTTTTTCACGTTAGCAGTATAGTCTCTTCATCGTATCGAGAATATGATTTTCGCGTATTAAATTTCGATTCTAAATTCTTATATCAACTTCTCTCTCTCTCTCTCTCTCTCTCTCTCCCTCTCTGCACGACACAAAACAGGGACTTTGAGTGATTGATTGCGACCGACGATTTTTCAGCACTTTCTCTCGGTATCCTGGTGGCCTTCCGCTATATGGTACAATATGTCATTTATATCGTATTGATCGGCGCAGTTTTGGCTTGCATCGGCGGCACAACGTATCTCTGGTAAAAGGAATTATCTCAATTTTTGAAAATTAAAGCGATGTAGCGAAAATTACATTTTAAATCTTTCGATTTAAAAATTCCTACACAAATAGAATATCTGCATGGAAGAACGAAGTTTTACTGAAGTTTAAAAATTTAACTACATACAGATTTGAAAATATTTTGATGATCAAAACAGCTATTGTAGGACTGCAAAGTATGATGGGCAATACTGTTTAAAATATTTTGATTATTTTAGCTGGCAAATCAGCTTGAGCATTCTAATTATTTTAATGGTCCAACAAATTTATTTTCAGATCTCTCAGTTAAATTTATAGACAGTTCAGCAGAATCGTTTTTCCTGTGTATCTATTATTTATTTAAATTTAGTGAAGGAAGTAATCTTTTATGCATAGGCTAGCATGGTATCGCGAGAAGAAGAGCCTGGAAAGGGGCGAAATCTATCCCGAGGATTCCAGCGTGGAGCCCTACTTCATCTACGCTATTATTATGTCGGTCGTTGCTGTAAGGAAAATCGCTATACTCCACGCTACGTTCGCACAAATTTTGTAAATATATACACGCATATATATGTATATATGCCGCAGGTCATCGTACTCTTGGTAATTCTGGTGATGAGAAAGAGAATCGAGCTGGTCATGCAGCTTTTCCGGGAGGCGGGTAAAGCCGTGTATTCCATGCCGGCATTGCTGTTTCAGCCGATTTACGTGAGCATATTTCGTTTCAATTATACAAATCCGATTCACTTCATATTGAGCTGAACGCGGAAATTCTTTGTTTTTAGACGTATCTGCTGATCGGGTCTACGGTAGTGGCGTGGGTCTATTGTATGCTGTGGATCGAGAGCGCCGGTGATATTTACTTGAATAAGAAAAATCACATTCATTTCAAGAAGGATGGGTTACTCATTGTACGTGAGCATATATTTTTTGTATATATTTTTTTTGGATAAAGATATATTTCTTGGCTATATAAATAAACATTTCCATTTTCAGTCACCGGGCGGAATCTTATACCTAATAATAATTTTTGTAAATTTTATATATTTGCCTTTATGCTTTCGAATGAAAGAGATTCACAGAATTTATTATTAGGCATAAAATACATTTAATACCGAACACTGAAAATGTTAATATTATTTTTATTCTATTGTATTATGCATGTATCAATCGTTATTTAATTTATTATTAAACTACATTTATTTATTTAATTTTTTAAACCATATTTCTCTTTATGCCTCTCTTTGTAATAAATGGAATTAATTTAGGCAACAAGGTGGTACAATCTGTTTTTATTCTTCGTGGCGTGTGAATTCTATTTGGGTTGCCAACATATGGTCGTCGCTTGTGCTGTTGCTCGATGGTTCTTTACAAGGTGAGATCTTTCAGAGATATAAATTAAATGAAAAAGCAAATAGCCTAGTGAAAAGTTGATCATTTGTATATATATACACAATAGAAAAATAAAATAAATATTTTTGTTATGACAATAATATTCAAAATATCATCTGTGCTAACATACATATCTAGACAATTTTCACGAAGTATTATTAGATTTCTTGCTAATGGTCCTTGTTTATATATATACATATATACGATGTCTGATATCATCATTATAGATTATGCTTTTATATGGTATTATATAAATTTTATAGAGAGAAATATGCACTCTATATTTTAACAAAGACGAAAAATGGCTTTCTTTACCAGTGGCAATTTTCACGAAGTATTATTAGATTTCTAATGGTCTCTGTTTATATATATGATGTCCGATATAGATGACATAGCTTATGCTTTCATATGGTATCGCATAAATTTTATAGAGAAATGTATGTTTTTTAACAGGGACAAAAGACGTCTGTCTTTACCAGTGGCAAAAGGCTTTGGTTATCTTATAAGATATCACATGGGTACCGTGGCTTTCGGCGCTTTGATAATAGGCATTGTTAGAGTGATCAGAGCCATGCTCTCCTTCGTCCAAAAACACTTGAAACAATACGACAACGCTTTCGTGAAAGGAATACTATGGTGTTGCCAATGCTGCCTCTGGTGTTTCGAGTGTGCTTTAAAATTCCTCACTAGGAATGCTTACATCGAAACAGGTAATACATTATTTTTATGACATAATTATAGACTGAATCCTTCATCAATATTAGAAATCCTTTTCCAATTTTTTATATAATGTGATGTAATAATAACAATTGTAGAACAAAAATTAAAAACTTCATCATTGATGTATTAAAAAATAATGTTTTTTCAGCCATATACGGATGCAACTTTTGCACGGGCGGAAGAAAGGCGTTCCAAGCGTTGTCCAGCAACATTCTGCGAGTAGCGGCGATCAACAGCGTCGGCGACTTCGTCCTCTTTCTGGGTAAAGTCCTCGTCGTTACTCTTACGGTCGTTTCGGGGATTTATTTGATGCAGGTACAGGTAAATTCATTGTAATGCATTTTTTTGCATTTCAAGGACTTTACTAAGCACTTTAGTTTTATCTCTTTGCAGAAGAAGGAAGGACTTAATCATCCATGGATACCAATCACTCTCGCGGGGATATTTGCATTCCTAGTCGCGCATTGTTTCATATCCATTTATGAGGTGAGTGACGTATAAAGCAAGAAATCTACCAAGTTATTAAATAGTACAATCTCTATGACAATTTTTGTATAAATGATTATTGTTCGCAGATGATAATTGACACGATATTCATATGCTTCTGCGAGGATTGCGAGAAGAATGACGGTATCAACCGACCTTATTTCATGAGCCGCGGTTTGATGGTTCGTATTAGTTGTAAGCCTCGATCTAGGTATAGTAGTAAGCCTTGAGCCGTAAGAAATTGTCCAATCATAGTCGATTATTCTCCTCACTTTGACTATGATTGATCAATTTCATACTCAAGACTCACTAAACTTACACCTAGTAGAGCGTCAGCATTATCTTTTCTTAACCATGTTAGAGTTATTTATGAAAAAAAATTTTGTTTTATTCTCAGGAATTCGTGGAGAACAGCAAGAAAGCTCTACGACAGTTGGAACAGCAAGGCGCTGCGGCCATATAACAAGCGGAACTATTTAATTTTTTTTTAAATACATAATTTCGAAAATTCGATACTCGGCCAGTGAAACGTGCGGCATACAATGTATGCGGAAGTTTTTCGTAGAACGTTAATGAACGTTATTTTAATGTATGGGTTTTCGAGAGGTAATCGCGGAATTGCAAAAGGAATGTAAATAGCTTCCTTTTGCATTTCCGCACAACACAGCACAATTATCGAAGTCGTTCGATACCAACGAAGTGTGATGAATCGTACACAATCGGTTGTTTCGATCGAATCCGACGGACTGACTACATTGCAAGGAATGTTACGAATCATTCTATTTTCGAAGTTCCTATTTCTAAAAATATTTTTTATATGACAAGATAGCTTTTTTCCAATATAAACTTAGTCGAGATAGACTAGCGACGCTCGCACAACTGTTGCGAATTACGCTGATTTGGCAGCCTGAACTTACGACGTTGTACCCTCTTCGTACCGTCAGAGGTGGATTAGCGAACAAATTAATTTAGAAGATATGCTTATTCTCCATGTTCTAGGGTATAAGTTCATACGCACAGTTTATATCGTTATGAATGTACGCGTTCTCTATTGCTGTAAATATTTCTTTTTTATAAAAAAAAGTGCCTACTACGATAGAATTCTTCGTTTTGATACAAATGCCGTGTAAGATAATAAGTAGACAAGAGATAGATATACTAACGATATATATAAATATTGTACTATTTCGAAAGAACAAGATTAATATTATATTGTATGTTATAAACAAACAAAATCTTCAAATAGAAAAGTTTGACCTAAATCTAATCTGACGTGTCGTTACTAACTCGTAACTTACTTCTTTTTATCCCCTTTACAAGAGACGGATTGTCGGGAAGTCAATACTGAAAATAAAGAAGATAATTGATGGAAATATACGAAAGTCTCACGGGACAGGTGTTAACTTTATCATTTCAATTTATTTTCGTCTGGGCACACAGTGCATGAAACGCTCATGCTTGGCGGTTTACAGATCTCATGTTATGCCGGTTTAGCAAAGTGGTGTGTCGTTAACACTGAGCTGGCAGTAAATCGGGGGTGACGAGTCGGACACTACGGGGGACATGACGGGGGAGGGGAGCGGAGGGGAGGAGGACTTTGGTCTGTTCAGGCCGAATAGACATTTAGGACGAGTGGAAAGAGTAGACCGTTTAGAAAATTCTCTCTCGTACTCTTGCGGTGCAGCGCGTTTTTTTTTTTTTATATCGAAACAGCGGAATTGCTCGCTAAAACGGGGCGCGACTAACAACACGAGCAGCGCAACAGCGATGAAGCCGGCAGGATTCGCAACGGAATCACAAATGCGTTTCGATGTGGTACGTCAACTTTTGCAACGCGAGTTTCGCGACATACGTATACATATGTTCGTGTATCGCATCTTAGGAAATCCAGTTCAGTGGATCGGCATTCCATATTCTAGCACGAAAATATCTCATTCTCTTTCTCTCTCTCTCTCTCTCTTTCTTTTACTTATCGATAGCTCCTCCTAGGATAAGTCGGTTTTCCCAGGATATAGGAAAATGCCAAAGATATGTACAATGGAAGAGACACTTTGCTCTATTTGCAACTCCAGAATATACATTGTTCGAGTTACACACGCGACAGACGCCTTCGTTTTGTTACATAAATATATATAGGACCGAGAGACAAGCCGTACGTGACCTAGAGGGGCGCCTGCGAGGGAAAATCCTTCTTGAGCTTCTCGCGCTACACAGACAATTCTCTCGCCGTCGATTACAGCGCAACAACAATCTTCGTCCGATTGTACGTAGCTGAGAGACTCTTGTATCCTAAAGTCCTATCGTTTCCCGAGATATTACTCTTTCTCTCATACACCGAAATAACGTTTAATGCCCATGTGTACACCGCGATTGTTAGCTTCCGAGTTTCGAAGGTACAGCTCCCCGAGTTTGCTGAAATATCGCTACGACATACAGGGTGAAAAAGATAAAATCGAGTCGGATCCTTAAAATCAACGACTACACCGACACAAGGTACTTGGCTTTGTACGACTTTGTATTGCACTTTGTAGCTAGCGCAAAACTTAGGTCTGTGAATCTTACAAATTATTTTTTTTTTTTTTTGGTCTCGTTAGGTCATCGTCATCGTGCGACGCGCAGGTAGCTGGTAGTCGAGATATCATCGTATAGTCATATTGCGGAATTCTCAGTCTTTATCAAAGAAATTTACCGTCGACACGTCTCGCAGACAGCCGCTAGAACTTAAAAAAAAACGGGAGAGCGAAGCAAGGGGATTTCTCACGAGCGGCGAATCGATAGTTGCCTTATGTTAACATATCTCTCTCATCCCACAATCGTGTATGTCACTTTCGAGCTTGCGCTTTCTCTTATATCTTACGCTTTCGTCCTAATCGAATAATACATCGTATGTGACACACATGTACGAAACGGGAGACGTATGAAAATGTGCGTGAGCTCGCGTAAGATGAATCATCTCGGTACTTGTGTCGAGCGTCCGGCGCTCGATCGTCGAGATTCGCAAATTGATCTAGAAAATCGTAACGAAAGAATGAATCGGGATAGAAATGAGCGGATGATGATGTTGCAAAGAAGCGTTTACGTTTCGCGACGGAAGGAAGGAGATGAAGTCTGACGAGTCCCCGCTACACTGATGAGAAATACTTCTTACTTTACGATTGTAAACACGCACCTTTCAAGTAGCGCGGATAGCACTCGCGATAATGACAGATGATAGAAAAACGATGACGATGACGATGACGGTATCCGTCCGGTAGGCGGCCGTTAATACGTGGTGCGAACACCCGAGGAAACGTGTATGATAGAAAGAACGACGTCGCGAACGTGCTCAACCGGCAAGCACGTTCAACAGATCTTGCGCCTACCGTCCGCTGCCGATTATTTAGATCTACGAGAATGGATCCATAGATGACGATTGCTATTATCGCCTTACCCTTACTTATAAGCTTCTGCGCGCAGTATTTACGTACTCGGCGGCAAGGGCGTCCGCAGGGGGAGTGGGGGCAAGAAAGGGCATTTGCCCACCCCCCTGGATATCAAACGAGTATAAGAAAATTCAGAATTTGCTCTCTTATTTTTACAAATAATAAATATGTTTGATAAATGTGAGAGAGTTAAAATACAACACGGGTACACCACGTTTGGACATTTGCTCCTCGCGGTAGTTCGTATTAAAAATTTGGATCATGCCCCCTCTCTAGAAAAAATCCTGCGGACGCCCTTGCTCGGTGGGTTTTCTTACGTCGCGCGCTGCCTTGGCTCACGAACACTTCTATTCCCGCACCGGGTTCGCAACGTATACACAAATACATTTCGCGGAGTTTCTCTCCCTTAATTCCTCTCCTTTCATTTAGAACGCAACTCAGGCTACCGGTTGTAGAACACACTCGTATTTCAGGTCCGATGTTATAATTTGCGTTAATATATATATATGTTTATATAAATATAGTCAACCGCCATTTGGAAACTATCTTCGTTCATCTTAATAAGTTAGGAAGCTTTGTAAAGGCAATGATGTATCATTTAGGGGAAGGACGGAGGGGGGGGTGAGTGGCGTTGAAGAAAAAGGAGAAATCAAAAGGGGGAAAAAATGGGAGAAGGAAGACACTTTTTCGCACTGCACGACTCCGCATCGATCGACCGCAAGTTTCAATCGTGACGTGGAATTGCTTTACTTGCGATGCCATTATGCAACTTACAACGTGCTACCGTTTTTTTCGCGTTGTAAATATTTAGAGAGAAAATATGACGAAAGCGGCGATAATGATAATGGCAATGATAAGTGATGACGACAGCATGGAGATGATAATGATTTTCTCGCAATAATAATAGCGACCGTAATAGTAGCGGTAATAGTAGTAATAGTAGCGGTAGTAGAGTAATTGTGATAATATAATAATATTATTAATAATAATATATAATAATAATCATCATAAACTCTGTAATATTTAATACATTGTTTGTTCACATGGACTAGATACAGCTCTCTTAGAACGACCGACAAATCGGTACGCTTCATCTTTCTTTTTCTCTTATTGTTGCCTTGATCCCTGTGCTCTACAGACCAGCAAGGATATGGTGTAATCAGTCAAATGTGTTTCTTGATGGCAGACCGGAGCCACGTAATCTTTTAATTTAATATTGTGGTTACGCGATTACCACTTCGCGCGAACACGTCGGTTGCGCGTTCTTAATTTAACGTAACTTCGGCATCAGCGAGGAACAGATCGTTACCTTTTCGGCAAAATATTAATTATGAATACTCTTTGCACTCTCTGAATTGCTTATGAAATGGTTCCTAAACAGATCTGTCTTCGGTCTTTTGCACTTAGAAATCATTAGCTATTGTTCTCTTTAAGATGTGTCAGAGACACGCCACCTACACCGTTTCGGATTTGCAGTTTCTCTTTTTTTAAGAAAAAAGAAAAATATGTTTATATATATATATATATATATCAGATCTCTCAACCTATAAGAATATTTCTGTATCGACAAAATAAATTCGCTAGAAATTATACGCAGTATCGAAAAAAGATTGTCGCGAAAGAAGTCCCGCGCGCACATGCCACCCTAGCTACACCACTGGCACTTAGAGAACGGACCCGGCCTTACCTACACCCGCGCTCGTACTTGGTATGTCCTCTCATCTCGCGTATCTGAGCGCGGCTCGAGTTCTCTGCCTCCTTCGAGCGGAAGCGATTCATCAACAAAGGCTACAACACTTGGAAGCATCTCCGAGATGAATGTGGCACACGTTGGGCATGCCGGCGCAGCCCTTACCGACGATGTTCTCCTGCACGAGGTGCGCGAGGCCTAGATTCTGATTGATGTCACCGTCGCTACCGCGATGCTGCTTCGTCGCGGCGTCACACCACTGACGACGTTCCCGCCACTTGTCCTCGACCAGCAGCACCGACTTAGGCGACGGCGGGCTCACGCGGTCGCGAGTGATGCTGCCGCACGAGCGAGCCTTGTAGAGGCGACCCTTGCCGAAGATACCCGGCAGCGGCACGCAGAGCTTTTTGTGCACGGCGAAGTAACGGCTCAACAACCGGATCTTCCTGCTCTTACACTCATTCCGGTTCATCGAGCCGTTACCGCGGTTCTCCTTGTCGTTGCACGCCGCTTGACTCGCGCACTTGTGATCACCGCGACGCTCGTCGCTGCCGCCGCTGACCGTTGTTTGACTGTCGTCCGATTGCCGTTGACAGCCGTTATTACACTTTCTATCGGGACTGCGAGCGGATTGCTTTGAGACCTGCGGTATCAGGGACTTACCGCCGAGCGACCAGCTCTGCAACAGCCTAGCTCCGAGGCCCTTCGCCTTCTGCACCGTGCTAGTCGCCATTTGAGACACAGGCGGTACAACATTGTGCTGAGAAGCCGTGCTATTCTGCGACACCGACGACGCCGACGACGAGGAGACGTTCTGCGTGCCGATTACAGTCGAATTGCGCGACACGTGACAGTGATTGTGACAGGATGAGGGTGCTTCGGCCTCCTGGACCTCGGTGATACGATTCAACGATTGGCTCTCACGTAATCGCGTCTCACCGGTTCTTCTCCTACCAGCGCGATGTCTCCTGCCAAACATTACCTGATTCTCGGTGCACCGATGCCGCCCTCCTCCGTTCGTCGTGCTCGTGTTTGTCGTGTTAGTGCCGCTGCCGCCGTCGTTCCGATTACTCTCGGTCGGTGTATCCGTTGTCGTGTGCTCGCCGTTGCTCACCCCGCTCCCGCCGCCGCCGACTCCGCCTCGCCCGCCGCCGCTCCCTCCCGGATCCTGCGAGTCGCTCGAGTCGTCGTGACTGTCGCGTCTCGGAGGTAGGGGCTTGCCCGTGGACGCGCCGAGCTTGTGCGCCCTCTTCTTCCTGCTCTCGCTGTCGTCATCGCTGGCGTCCGAACTCGAGCAGGAGGTCGTGCGCGTCTTGTGGAACTTGTTCCTCCGTTGTTCGTACGTTGTTCGCCTGACGACGCGGCACTTGGTCGTCGAGTCCGCGCATTCCGTGGAATTCACCGACGCGTGCGTGCCGTCCCCGTCCTCCAGGATTTCATTGAGCGTGAGTTGCGTCGCAGACGAATTACCGCTGACCGGCGACGGCATCGTCTTGTACTTAGGTGTTAACGTCACTTGATTGTCGCTAATCGGATGAAGTGGTATCGAGACGGTCGACGATTCATGTAGCGTTTTGGTAGTGGTCGTCGTCGTCGTCGTCGTTGCCATCGTCGTCTTAGGTACGTCGGACGGTTTTGAGGGAATCACTGACGAGGATTCCGTGAGCGGCACGCTGAACCGATGGTGCTGAGCACCCATTCTCCACTTGTTCGCCGGTATCGGCCCGGTCGATTTTAGACACTCCGTCACCGACTTGGGTCTGGCTTCCGTGTTGGTGGCTTTTCTGGCCGCCCATCCGGACGACGGAGAGTTCGCGCCGCTCAATCGATTCTTCAGATTTTCCTCGAGCGTGGTAATCCTTACGGGCAGCTTCTCCAAGAGTACGTTACCCGTTTGGACTTTGTCTGCCGCTCCCTTTGGATGCATCGGCGACGACGTCTTGTTATCCTTCTCGTTTTTCGCAGTCTGCTTCAGTCTTTCTCCCCTGTGCGATGATTCGGCGATGACGGTGTCCTCCTTCTGATGCGGATGCCGTTGACTCGGTACTACGGGCTTCGGGCAGGTGTGCTTCTCCGGAAGTTGCAACAGTCGCTCCTGCAGAATATGCGAGAGCTTCCCCTCGGAACGGGAGCCGCGACGGTTAAAGGAATTTAGCGCCGAATTACTGTCTCGGCCGGAGCACGAGGACACGTCGTCCTCATCTTCTTCCTCTTGAACAATACTGCATTTGCGCGTACGCACGTTCTGCAACGAGAACAGTCATCTTTGTTTCCCACGCGAGGTACGCTATCCGGCAAACACTTTTAAGGTGTTGCATAAAATGCTAATATTACGTTCGGTCACGTATTAGTTGATGCCTTTCTAGACGACGAGCATGCGATACGTACCTGCGGTACGTCACCAGGCGTCCGTGGCACGGTCAACAGCGACTGGTTCGTGGTACTCAGGGAGTTCTCATCCGCGCGTAGATTTGCTGTCAGATCACCTTGCCGGCTGCATACAATTTACACGTTAGTATATTAATGATTTCATCAAAGACGGTATGCAGCATAAATATTTAGAACCGGCGTATCTTGTGAGTGAGTCACGATAGCAATGCTAATGGAGTGATTCAGTATTTAAAACATACCTCGAGGAAACGTCCAGAGCTTCTGGGCGAGTTTTCTGCATCTGCTCCTGTCGATAACCGCGCAATATCATCTCAGCCAGCAGAAAATACGTCGCGGTGATGTGGTTGTACTCGTTCTTGTCGAGCGCGCTGTAAGAGGAGATACGCAATGGAGAAATTACCGGTAAAATAGTCGCGCCGAGGACGCAACGCTTAAGATATACCAACACGCAAAAAGGCACGATCAAAATGGTCAAATGCTCTTCTTTAATGTCTACTCACTCCAATATCTCTTCCTTGGTGGCGATGTTACCGTTAACCATTTTGGTAATTATGTGATTGTGATGATCGTCGGAGACCTGTTGGCGCGACACGAGCGGCAGCGTCTCCATCGTGTCCAGGTCGGAGCCGATCGTTAACCACGGGTCCGCGGCAATCTCCTCGAGGGACGCTCTGCCTTCGGGTTCCCGCACGAGCATTTTCGCGATTAGCCGCTTGCAGCCGTCGGACACGTGCGCCGGGATCGAATACTTGCAGTCCATAATCATCGTTAGCGTCTCACTGTCGTTCGCCTCTTGAAATGGCGCTTGACCGCATACTAACATGTACAGTATTACACCTAACGACCAAACATCTGCAACAAATATGAAGCAACAAACGTAGTTCGTCGAAGCGAAGAGAATAATTTCGCTTTCGCTAACACATTTTCAATAACATTCTTTCTCACGAATTTAATTCGAGTTCATTGCTTCTTAGCAAAACTTTCGACGAAAATTTGTAACTTTAAATGCTAATTCTCTGCCGTTACAATTCAGAAGTTGTTAAATAGATAACAAGAGTCTTAATATAATTTAGGTCTTTAACCTTAATTACAATAATTAATATATAAGCTTACCTACTGCGGGGGCATCATAACTATCACCTAGAAGTATTTCCGGAGCGGAGTACGCTAACGAGCCGCACGAAGTCTCGAGCTTCTGACCAGGACAGAATCTATTGCTAAACCCGAAGTCCGTAAGCTTCACCGTACCGAGCTTTTCGAAGAACACGACGTTCTCGGGTTTCAAATCTCTGTGCACCACGTGTAAACGATGACAATACGATATGGCCCGGACTATCTGCCGAAAGTAAGTCCTGGCCACCTGAGACGAAAATTCAAGCATTATATAAATACACTCAATACGCGCCTGTGAGTAATAATTATTCCGTAATTTTAAAAATTTAATTAAAATATGTACTTAGTAAAAGAGTTACATACAAGAATTCCTGTCAAATTAATATTTAATTATGTCAATTCTAAATTCAACATAAGAGAAACTTTTTCTGAAAAATTCGAAGATAATTTTCCCTATATGCATAATAAATTTGTAACAATTTATGCCCAAGAAAATTCATATTCAACAGACATATTAGCTTTGTAATAGAGAGCTAAATTTGCATCCTCTATTCGTGCGATAATTGCAAGCACCGGCGGCATAATAAAACAACAATAGCCGTGCAACAATACCTCTTCGCTGAGGCCGCTGTCGTGGCGCATGATGTAATCGTAGAGGTCCCCGCCATCGCCGAGCTCTAGAATTAGGTATAGCTTGGTCTGCGTGTCTATCACCTCGTACAGCCGCACCACGTTGGGATGCTGCACCAGCTTCATGCACCGCACCTGCGGACACAGACGGACTCGCGATCACGATGGGCAGGCAAAACGAAATTCGTTTTGCCTGAGCGAATTTAAATCCACGGGGGTCAACGTTTCTGTCCGTCATCCGTTTGCGTCATTATCTCGCTGACCTTAACGATCTTAACGAGATCCACCGCTATGAGGCCTATCTTGCCTATCTATTGCGATGCAACTGCGCGAGACGATTCGATCGCCGGTTACTATCGAAATGGCCGTCAAAGTGACATTACGCGAATCAGAATGTCATCAATGACTCTGTCATTTCCATTAGGATATTAAACAGGCGGAAAGTAAATCTGACGCGATTGCACAGCCACGAGCCGTGCAAGATAGAAACAAACAACGGTCGGACTGTTATTATAGCGTTCTATCTGTCAAACATGGAGTCTCATTCGGAACGAGGAATAAATTGAAAACAGTGTAACTTAACTTTGTAAAAGATATGTCAGAAAGTTGTCAAGAAAATTAAAGAAGAAAGTAAAAAAGAAGCAATTTAAATGCAAACTTTTTACGGATTTCATACATTTCGGTATTCCAATGTCTATTTGAGTTACTTTTAATAACGTAAACATTTCTTTCATTTGTTTTCTTCGACGTTTTCTTTATATAGAAAAGATCAAATTAGACGAGTCGCCGAAAAGTTTGGAGATTTATCGCGACAATCGGCAGAATTCACACAATTATGAAATGACCACAGTTGCGTTTCTCACCTCCTGGTAAAGATGAGCCCTCGAGACCTCGTCGAGCTTACTCTTGTCGATCACCTTCACTGCCACCTTCTCACCGGTGAAAACGTGTCGTGCCAGCTTCACCACGGCGAAGTGGCCGCGGCCGAGAGTTTCCTCCAGATCGTAAAGCCCGGCGATCTTGCCATCGTAATTGTTGTATCCCAATCTTCGATTCATCTCGTGCCGCTGCAATACACATTGCAAATTCTTTTCGTATGCAGATGGAAAGAGACATTACTTATCTACTAAAATAACTATTATATTCGACCTAGAAAATCCACAAATTGAATCTGACATACGTGGGTAAGATATAAGAGAAAGATTTATCTCAAATTAGATTTTTATTTCATTCTTTTATACGAAAGCTATTTGTCTTCTGTGTCATTTTCGCAAATTTGAGATTCTTATTAGAATCTCAAATCTAAATAGAATTACGTACATTTTGAATGATTAGCGCATTCTACAAATAAGATACTTAAACAGATTACTCCGTGAAAATTGATTTACATTAACTGAATGCATTGTTCACATTTGTGAGTCTTACAGTTCTTAAATTTTTCCACCGGTTTTTTTTTTTAAACATATACCTCCGAATGATAACACTGAATGGTTGAATTCAAAATATCGAATTCTGATCGATCGCTTGGAAATGTACAACGATAGTCGCGTATGTACGACAGTCCATTCCGCGCGAGAAAGAGGTCAATATTATTTTTAGCGCCTTAGTAGGTGCAATAATTAATCGCCTCGCCGTCCGTGGACGCGCGATCGGCAGCAGTGAAAAAAAAAAGAGGTACACTCGGTGGAATGACAAGAGGTACTACCCGCTTTGGAAAAATACATGGCGGGAAGCTAATGGACCGTACACGAGATGCGCGCGCTAAATATAGCTATCCGATTCAAACTTTTACTCGCGAGCGAACGAAGTAGTTACATCGCGTCCAGAATGTATACGAGAGTGCATAGAAATCGTGCATAATCCTCGATGAATTGATTTTTCCTCGGTGAATATCGGATTAGAAACTCAAGTAACTGGAGCGTGTGAATCTGTTGTCCATCGATCGCGTATCGAGGCGCGGCTCGGCCAGGATCGCTTATCGCCTCACTTTCCGAAGGATCGATGACCTTAAAAAAAAAATTAAAAAAAAATACGGCAAGCCTGCACGGAGAGAATTTCCTTTTAGAATTTACCCTGAAAATCATGTTAATTGTGAGACAATATAGTATTTAGGTAAAATTTACTGTGCACTACAATAAATTTTACTGCAAAATCTTATTGTAGTGCACAGTAAAATTTGCCTAAATACTATATTGTCCCATAATTAACATGATTTGCAGGGTAAATTTCAAAAAAAATTCTCTCCGTGTGATATCTCGCCCGCCGCAAACTCCGTTTGTCTAACGCGAAGATAACGCTAATGCCGAACACTCGGGGTGAGCAGCACACGATCAAATTTAGCTGGATGGGAATAGGAGCCAATGTTGCCGCCGAGGGAACGCATTGTCTTTGGCGGAACGTAATTGCGAAACGCGTCGTCGCCACGGTGCACGCCGCGACGCGACGTGACTGCGATTTGTCGGGGCGGTATCCCGCCGTTCCGTTCCTTTCTCTCCTCCCGCGACGGAGAGGGAACTTCCATTCTTATTAGTTAGACACCGTGCTTTCTGTTTCTTTGTTTATTTTCATGAATATTTATTTTTCTCCCGTGCACCTACATCACCGCCCCTGTGTGTGTATATCATTGCCTTTTTTTTTCGGCGCGCTTGAAAAGATCTTTCCCGGGATAAATTAATAATGCTCTCTCTCGCTCTCTCCCTTTCTCGTGCCCTCCTGTGTATCTAAAGGCGCACGAAAATACAATACGACCGCAATACGTATTATAGCGGCGAAAATCTCGACCCATGGCTGTACACCCCCGATTTCCTTTGGCCCTTTTGGGATCCACAAAGGAGTTTCTTTTCGCTTCCGTCGTCTGCCTGCCGTGCGGAACGCGGCCACGCGCGGAGCCCCGTCGGGAGCTGCGGAATCATTTCTTCGACATGCGTGCTCCGGATACTCTTAACGAGGATTACGAAGAACGCAAAAATAAACCTTGTCGAGCGACGGAGGGGGAGGAGGGAGGGGAGAGAAAGGTACCAATAAAGGAGGCGAATCACTACGGCCGGAGCGCACGTCAAAATTTCTTCTCGGAAAAACATCACGCCGTGCGAAAAAGTCCTCCTCCGCTACAGCCGGCTCTCCGACGAAAACAGATCGGATTAATGCCTTAACGATCGAATCATCTGTGCTTGCTGTGCAATTTATAGCAAATGCTGACGCAAGACTGACATTCACTTCAGCCGAGGTTTACGGCTTTTATTTCGCGCAAACGCGTCCATTGCCTATGTCGCGATATAAATAAGACGAGAGTATTCTCTCCCATTCTCACCGGCGTTATTATTATCGACGAGCGTTCCCTGCACCACGTAAACCGTTCATTGTTAAGATAATAAATTTTATCTGGCCGCAACGTATTAATCCATTAAGGCAAATCGACGCTTGTCGCGCGGCGCGCGCGTCGCGATTTACTGGCAGATATCGAAAAATTTCATTTCAGTAAACGTATGGTTCGCCGTGCGACGAGATAATGCGTGAACGATTCTGCAGCGCGCGCTCTTCGGAAACAGATTCAATTAAAATAAATCACAGCGCGTATGCGTCATATATATATATATCGATTCTTTCGCCGCGTTACACGGAAAATTAATTGCCGTTACGCAATCATAATTGATTGCCATTACGAAGTAAATGCAATTTACCGCGACACCGCGACCGAACGAAGCTCGCTTTCTGCGAGCTTTATCTGGAGTGCTTATATGCATACGGTGCAATTAACAAGCGTAGTGCAATTAACGATTTGACTGACGTCAACGCCCTAATTTCATTTCACGCCCGTAGGCTGCTGAGTACTTGCAGTAACCTAAATAAATAATATTAGACTATTAGAGCTTCTCACGTCAGGGATTTTTTAAATTATCGTTGGCGCACAGAGCTGGAGCTTTGGAGGATTACGCTAGTACCGGGAAAATACAAATGTTTACACAGGGTAGCAAAAATTATAAAAAAACATCCCGCGAAAAAAAACAAGAAAAATATTACCTTGTCAAATAACGCAACGTAAAGTTCGAAATGTTATAAAAATATAGTATATGTACAATTTAATACAATAAATATTATATCATGTTATATAACAATAATATATGGAGATGTGTCTGACTCTCAATTTTAAAACTAGAATAAAGACAAGTAAGACGATAAGAGATCGCAATCCTTACATATTTTATAAACCACGTTCTTACTCGAATCCTCTAGACGAATGTTTTTATTATTGCTTCAAGCTAAAGGCCATCACACGAATAAAAATTTTAATCGTAACCGTAAAGTCGTAAACATATTGACCAATCATAGTCGAACATTCTAAAACATAAGACCGCAATTTTGATCGTAATTGGTCAATTTTTATGGCCTTACTGACATTACAGAATGCTAATTTTGTTTCTAAATTCTTCGTGATATCTGTGAATTTTTCAGAAATTATTCGTATGTAAGAAATCATAAACAATTTAACTTTGTTTCCCTTCTCTAACATTTTATTATTAAAACTTTTTGAAGTTATTTGTAAAAGAGAGATTTTAATCGTTTCTTAATCGTGTCCATAATAAACTTGAGCGGATAATCATTGGTTAAGAACGTTATTACGAAATCCAAGTTTTTGTTATGATTATCTCTTCGACTAATTAGCGGAATGAATTATTGAAATGATGTATTGATGTAACATTTTTCACTGCTTGAAGGAGGTCGAAACGTACAAATGAATTGTACTAAGGATACGTAATATGATTTAATATATTTCGAAAAAAACTGTCTACGTTATTGACTCTTATCGCCTGTCTTATTCGTCTTGGTTATTGTTTTATATTATGTAACATTATAATATATTCAATATCACACACACGTAACAATGACGCCTATTTTATCTATACTTGTAATTTTTTTAAACAATCGCATTAAAAGTCTTCTTATAAATATTAATTACATTTTGCATTTTTCCTAGCATTAAAGAGGTAATTCTCCCCCCTGAACATTCTTTATATAATCAATAACCTGCCGCTTGAACAGCGGAATGTCAGTTCTAGGAATTCAGGGCGTTTACTGTCGCGGTAATTTTCCACGTGCCAGGAAAGCGGGAGTCGTCCGAATCATCCTTTATCCATCCGGATCCGTCACGACGCGGCGAATTGAACTTGACATTTAACCGATAACGTCCTCTGCTATCAAGATCTACCTGTACGCGGGCACGTCTGTGATGTTGGCCTGACCTGCTTTTACCGCACGTGTCCGTGAAATAATGAGATACACGAGCGTCAGTTATACGTAATAAGTTTATGACTCTTCGGGCCGGACACCTGAAACGTGCTTTATGCCAACCGCAAAGCATCAGGAATGATCAATGGCGTCGAACGATCGATGACGCGTCGCGAATTTTTATTTCAAAACGTGGAAAAAAAAGTCTCCTCAAAAAGTACGAAAGTTATCTCGTTACCGGTTCCATTAAACGGCAAGAAAATTATACTGAGATGCGAGGCTGATAGTAAAGTAAATATTGCCGCTTCTCCCTTAATATCGGAGTAATATTATTTAAGAGAAAACCGTGCTCGCTCCATATAATCTCGCAAGTAACACGTTTATTACTTGGCGAGAAAAACTTCGCGAGGGAGGATTCTCAACGAATCTCCTCGCCGAATGTGCGTCCGCGCGAGAGGCCGTGAAATTCCGCCGAACGGAAACTTCACGCTTAGAAAGTATAATCCGTTTCGGTGAGAGACACGAGCGTAGCGCGTGTGGACCCGCATTTGAAATTTAGATCACGCCACACGCATATACTCTTCCACGGACCGCATTTCCCGGATGCAGTCGTAAACGGAGCGTTCGTACTTTCTGAACACTTTCGCATTCGCGCGGACACGGAAGTCGCGAATTAGCGGGACGGGGAAACATCGCGGCGCGCGTGTGTGTGTATGTGTGTGTGTGTGTGTGTGTGTGTGCAGTGTGCACGATGCGCAAGTTGGATCTCCCGCAAGATTCACGACGAGGCGGATCGAAATAAACCGTACCGTCGGCGATTTGTAATAGCCGGGTAGAGAGA